AGCAAGAATTCTCTGGTCAAACTGGTCAAAGCTTTCAAATTGGTCAAAGCTTTCACGATGGTAGCAAGGGTTCTCTGGTCGAACTGGTCAAAGCTTTGAGCTTGGCAGAGTGGACTCTCTCTCTCTCTTTCAATTAGTCAAAGGTTTGACCATGGTAGTGAGAAGTCTCTGATCAAATTTGTCAAAAAGGTTTGATCTTGGTAGAGATAACTCTCTGTCTTTCACGTTGGTCAAAACTTTGACCGTGGTAGCAATAATTTTCTGGTCTAATAATAACCAATGAGCCTAGCTCAGTTGGTACACCCAAGCGCTGTTGATATACAGACCCAAGTTCGACGAATCCACATGATGGAACCAGATGAATGAGACAATATTTTTGAATTACATGGGGGCCGTCCAGCTCAATGATGATATCTCAAGGCCGATGCCCTTAATTTTTAATTTTTAATTTTTAATTCGGGTCAAATTGGTCAAAAAGCTTTGATCTTGGTAGAGAGAATTCTCTCTTTTGTCCTCTGGGACATATGTTAAAATTGGAATGATACAGAGAATGAAGATTCGCAAATGGCCCCTGCGCGTAAGGATGACACGCATAAATCGAGAAATGGTCCAAAAAAAAAAAAAAAGTAAAAAATCTCTCTTTTCAATTGGTCGAATCTTTGACCATGGTAGCGCGAAATCTCTGGTCAAATTGGTCAAAAATCTTTGACCTTGGTAAAGACAACTCTCTGTCTTTCACATTGGTCAAAGCTTTGACCATGGTAGCGAGAATTCTCTGGTCAATTGAGACCTTCACATCCGAGTGGCAAAAAAAAAAAAAAAAAAAAAAAAAGAGCTTCAGATCTCAACATTTGCACATCTGTTAAGTTGAACAGTTGAAATGGTATACTTGCTGTTTTTTTTTTTTTTTTTTTTTTTTTTTTTTTTTTTTTTTTTTTTTTTTTTTTAAGGTATACTTGGTTGTACAGGAGGATTAGTTCCTCTCACACACGAGAGATCCCTCCCTCCTTGTGTGTGCACACACTGTTTTGTTTTTTCTTACTTGGTTTTTCAAAGAAGACTCAATACAAAAAAAATATTTTTAAAATGCATGCTTCGCCCTGAAGTTTTTGTCTACCCCCGGGCCTAAGGCGAATTTGAGAGTCACCCTTGGAAATTGGGACCCATATACTTGTCTCCCCTTGCGGGAAAGGGAAAAACAAAAAATCAAAAATATCAAAAAGATCAAAAAGATCAAAAAGATCAAAAAGATCAAAAAGAACAAAAAGATAAAAAAGATAAAAAAGAACAAAACGAACAGAAAGAACAAAATAAAAGAAGATACCTTGTTCCCCTTCATTGTGGTTGACCTGAGGGTCCACGGGAGATTACCGTCTTCACCCGAATAGAACGGCCGGTCATTATTTTTTTTTCTGTATCTAGACTCAAAAGTTGCCCCAAATACAGAGCTATAATGACGGGGCGTTCTATTAGGGTGAAGACGGGGGGGAGAAACAGCATAGATGATGGAGGCATGGGAGGAGAGATGGAAGTGTGTGAAGAGGAAGAAAAAGAAGAGAGTGCAACCCAATGTAATAGCCGAGTCCCTACCTGGGTCCCTACCTGACGTCTGCCTGGGTTCCAATTTCCAAGTCCCTACCTGGGTCCCTACCTGGGTCTTTATTTCCAGGCCTGATCTCAGGTAGGGACCCAGGAAATAATAATAAGTCTCTCTCCGAGTTCACAATTGTCGCGGGTCACAATGTCAATCACGTCCGAACCTCGACACAAAGCCGGCCCGAATCGTAGCCAAGTCACTGATCTGTCTCCATGTGTCTGAACCTGGATGCAAAGCCTCACCCTGTCAATCCAGTCTGAACCTGGACATAGGAGGCAGATATGGAGAGGTGGTGAAGCACTAGAAGAGAAGATGGAGAATCTCTCTCTCTCTCTCTCTCTCTCTCTCTCTCTCTCTCTCTCTCTCTCTCTCTCTCTC